GCAAAAAAAAAAAAAAATAAAGGCATATAGAGGAAATTCAGTTCAGATTATAAATGTTGACTTACAGGTTCCTGAGGATGTTATCAATGAGCATCTCTCTAGCTCTTACTGTTTCCTCGTCATGTCACGTTGAGCAGGTTAAACAACCTCTGTCTGTTTTTGGTTGCCTCTGCTATGAATTGGGGATGAAGACAGTGCCTATGTTACAGGGACAGAAGCAACCGTGGAAGGAATTAATACCTGGGACGTTTTTAGAATAACACCCAGCATAGAGTAAGTACTCAGTACCTTAGCTATCATTATTACATGGCTAGAGAATATATTTCTGTTTTTGTTTTTGCTACCGGGCACACACACTCACCACAGAGAGACAGACAGGAGACAGGGGTGGGGGGAATCCCCTGGGGAAGTGGCTACATCGTAGTCCATTCTTCTCTCAGGGTTTTGGCACACTTGCGCGTGAGCCACCAGGTCTGCTTACTCATCCATGTGGGATCCAGCAGCCTTAACCACCATGCCGCAGTGAGCCAGTGCAAATGTTTTTAAAGATTAGTTTTAAGCTTGTGGACACATCTTGACCTATAGATTTGGGAGCTATCAGCATGTGGCTTGTTAACTGAATTAACGAGATTGAATGATTTGAACCCAAGTATTATGTGTGAAACTAAAATAAGAAAGTTAAGGACTTAGAACACTAAAGATACCAATAAGAGTCAAGTTTGTGAAGAAGCAGCTGACTTTTAAATTTTTTATAAGGCCCGCCCCTCCTGCCAATAGGTCACGTGCGCTTGCAGGAGAGAGAGAGAGAGAGAGAGAGTGAGAAATCACTCCTCTAGAGTGTATGGCCATGCCACAATCCCTTCTCTTCCGTAAAAGGGATGGGATTTTGGGCACATGCCAATACACGCTTGTGTCCACGGTGTGATTCTTAGGCCTCCAGGTCTGGGGCTCAAATCTCTTCGCCCAGGTGGAAGTTCAGCACCTTAGCCCCCATGCCACGTGCTGACTCAGAATTGACTTCTATTCAGTGGTTTACTGGCAAATATTTAACAAATAGCATTTTTTTTTTAAAAGGAAAGATGAAAGGAAACCCACCCTAGTATTATTAGCCTTCTCCAATTTCCAAGGTATAAATACTCCTATCCTCCCATTTATTGGTTGAGTTCAAGGTACAGACTTGACTTGAAGTTGAGGAGAGATGTGAACAGTTGGCCCTGGAGGGCTGTATGAATCAACTTAGGCTCCTTTTCAGCTACAGGAACCAGTTTTGTGTATTTCATGTAGTGCTGTGGGATTCCAGTGTAAGGCATGGTGTTTTAAACAAGAATTAAATATTACTACTCACGTCATGTCATTATGTTATAGATAATAGGCTACCTAGTAATTTTCTAGACTGTTGAAACTGAGATGCCTACAGCAAGCTGTTTGGTCTCTTTGTGCTTCTGGTTTTGCTGTGAGTTTGAGTATATATTCTAGAGTTACCTTAATTTTCCAGGTGGCCTAATGTTTCATTTTTGAATCTTATTTCAAGTTGCCAATTTTGGGGATAAATTGTGTGTGGCGAGTAAAGGTGGTGGGAGACTCCTGACTCCCACAATTCCCATCAATAGGAGGGTACAAATTAAAACACATTTCTGCTATCTACTGTCTCAAGTGTCAGTACCAGTGTCAATAGCAGTAATGGTCAGTTTGGAGTAAGAAAAAGTATGTTTACTTTAAATAAACAGGCCCAAAATGATACGGCTAGGTTTTCTAGGTGACATGAGTCCTTAGCACAATTGCAACATTTTTTTCATTGTCGTGATCTGTGAGCAGGTACGAGTTCGACTGATTAGTGTGCATGGAGGTCTCTTCTCATCTCATATCGAAGGAGAACCTATGAGCCAGTCTCAGCAGTGGCTGCCACCGCACTGCAGCAATAGCATCACTGTTAGTTTCGAGGTTTGTGTGTAACTGCAGCAATGACAGTGTCAAACTAGCTGGTGTTGAGACCGTCCCTGGGTGAGGAGAAGAGACCAAATTTCAGATGCAGACTTGTCCAGGCCTGATAACTGTAGACCATGGTTGGTTTTGTAGCCTGTAAGGCCCAAGATTATGGCTCTCAGACCCATCTGGTCCAGTTCGATTTGTTCGGTGCTTACACGAAGGAAGTTCGAATCCCCTGCTAGCGCTCTTAAAATCAGTGTGGTTGGTGTGAGAACTTGGTGAGGATGTCATATGGATTAGCGGGGCTTTTCCTGATGGCTGTTGAGATGCCTTACTGATACTTCATCTGTGACCTCAGCCTTAGGTATGAAGAGCATCCCTTTCACTTAGTTTTATTTTCTTACTAGCCGTCCTAGAGAAGAAAAACATAAAATCCATTTTGCGAGCTGCTGGTGATTTTTATCTGCTTGCCTGAATCCCGGTCTCAGTGCTTCACTGTATTTTATTCTTGGGTATGTCATCCAGTTATCAGGACTGTGAACTACAATTTTACTGTAATAGGATAAAATTCCCAACAGAATAATAATGGGCGTTGCGTAGAAAGTAAAATAATAATTTCATAATTTATCATTTTCATTCTTGCATAAATTAAAATGCTCGAAAAATGAATATGTACATTTCTGCATGGATAAATTAAAATTTTATAGTTTATTATTTCTGCCTGTTAATTTTTCTCTACAAAATGTTTACATTTTATTTAATTACAAGTAGGTTTTATTCCTGTATTTATTTCATTTTTTTCAGAGGAATTAAAACGATTAGTTGGTAATTTTGTATGGCTTTTAAAGTAAGATGAGAAAAATCTAATTTTGAATTCTTATACATTTTGCCCCGAATTTCTTCGTCGTACAAAAAATAGTGTTTGGTGATTTAACATATAAATCCCATACATAAGTAATTATCTTTTAATATAGTCAGTCCATTCATCTATCTGTTCATTTCTGAAGCTTCAATTCATGAAATCTATATTCTTAAAATGATAAACAAATCCTTTAAAATAATTTTCTTTGAAGAAGAAAACTTTCAACCGTGATAATCAGATGTTAAATACTCATTTAGCCTCTATTGTGTGACTTGGTGACAAGAAGGGAATATACTCTTTCTCATCTTAAATAGAAGTTTAATATTCTGCCTTAAATAGCATGTGGTAAAAACAGCTATCTTGACAAAATACAGTTTTTATATCAGGCCTTTAAAATTTCAACAGAATTTAAACATTATTTAGATAAAACAATCATGTTACAAAGACGACCTTTAACAGGATCAGGCCACCCACAGTGTGGCCTAGGGAATGTGGCATGCAAGCCACCCAGTGAGACTGAGGTCATTTTTTCATCTTTGCTTAATGTATAGTCACCAGACCAGATAATGTAGAAACTTTTTACAAGCAGCCATCAAACAGCCAAAAACGGTTTATCCCTTTTCTCCCCTTTCTATGTGGCTAATTAAAAATAATTCACAAGTTGAAAAATTTGGACTATTTTTTGTACACAGATAATTTTGCTTTAGATAAAAAGCAGCTCTTTCAGTACAGTGATTCATATCATTTAAGTTCTTTTAGGTTTTAAAAAAATTTCCGAAATTCCTAGTTCATGTATACTTTGATCAGAATTAGCCGATTTAAGAAATATTAATAACAATGTGCAAGTTTCTAATTTTAAGTCGCTTACATAATTTTCTGTGCCTGCTACAGAAAGAGAAAATTCTACCAAGATGTGGGATTAACTTTAAAATACTTCTTTTGAACAGCTTTTTTGAAAACTGTTTTGTTTTGTTGCCTTATATGTACATGTTGAGTCCGTGGAACTTCTCTAATGTGTGTGTGTGTGTGTGTGTGTGTGTGTGTGTGTGTGTGAGAGAGAGAGAGAGAGAGAGAGTGCACGTATGTGCATGTGCATGTATGCGTGTGTATGTTTTACCCTTATTGTCTGAAGTAATGAAATAATCTGAGGGTCCATAATTGCTCTAAATAAATTTAAGTAAAATAAATTGAAATAAATTCATTTTAGAGATTTTATTTGGACCAGGTAAATATGGTGGTTTTTAATTGAATAGCATTCTTAACATATGAAACGACCTAGCAGGCAAAATGGAAATTTTATTTTAGCAGATCCTAAAAGATCTATAACATAGCTGACTTTTAAAAAGTAGTCTGCGGAGTTTTAATTTAAAATTTAAAACTGCAATAGCAGTCTGACATTTTGTTTCATCTGCTGCTCGGTTTAGACATAGAGGTTTCCTGATTAAAATAACCTTTTATCTAAGTTTCCTTTTCTCCTTTTGACATAGAAGCGAGTAACACTGCAGACACGCTGTTTCAAGAAGTGCTTGGTCGAAAGGACAAGGCAGATTCCACTAGAAATGCGCTCAATGTGCTTCAGCGATTTAAGTTTCTTTTCAACCTTCCTTTAAACATTGAAAGGAATATTCAAAAGGTAGAGTATGTATTTGCATACATAGTTATCAATGTTGTAAATGTTACAGATTTCTTAACGTTTTTTTCTGTCTTAACCAAGTGTCTCCATCACGCTTTATTTATTGACAAGTCTCCAAAATGTTTCTTTCTTTTAAAGGGTGATTATGATGTGGTTATTAACGATTATGAGAAGGCCAAGTCACTCTTCGGGAAAACGGAGGTGCAAGTTTTCAAGAAATGTAAGATTTGTGTATTACTTTTAGATCTTCTGCCTTCCGTTTACAGGAAGAACGTGGAATATATTTTTGCAAAGAATGTTATGTGCATTTTAGTTTTATGTTTATATGGTACTCCCTTTAAAATGTAAAACAATTACTTCAAAAATAACATCATGGCTTTTCTCACTGAGATGTAGCAAAAATGAGCAGCCACAATTGTAGGTTAGTCTCAGACCTTCTGTGCCATTCGTTAATCATGATGCTATTAAAGTCTTTTTTGCTGGAAAGAATCAATGACAGCTATTTTATAGAGGTGAAAATCGACATTTAACTCTTATTTCTTTAGGAAAACCATCTTATTTATGCTTCCGACCTTAGTTTAAAGTACAGTCAACATCTTTTAAAATTTTCTCTAATTCCACAATTACAGAAAATAAGACAAGCTTATAATGCCCTGTAACAGAAAGCCCTGTCAACTAGAAGAAATACCACAGGGCTCTGCATTAAATTTAAAATTGAAATCCATAAGGACTCCGAAAACCAAATTGATTTTTTTATCGTGCTTAAAAATTTACATGCAGAGAAATGCCTAGACCTCACCTGTGACAGATGAGTGAATTTTGACAAACGTGTGCACCCCCTGGAAACTACAAAGATTAACGTTTTGCTGTCTCCAGAAAGCTCTCTTATGCCTCTTCTCATTCTATCCCAGCCCCTTAAAAGCAACCACTGCCCTGCTTTGTGAAATTTGATTGTAAATATCCATTCTGTAAATCTTGTGCATTTTCTTTTAAACAGATTACGCTGAAGTAGAAACGCGAATTGAAGCTTTAAGGGAATTACTTGTGGATAAATTGCTTGAGACACCATCTACTTTACATGACCAAAAACGTTACATAAGGTAAAACTTCCGTAAGCATTTTACCAAGTCACGCGTATTGATTTAGTACAGGACCCATCAGGTCACCCTGAAAGCTAATTAATTAGTAGATTGATGAAATAGTGCGAGGGAAGACAAATGGCAGAAATTGAGGGGTACCTGGTGCAAGACATCAAAATTCTTTTGTATGTGAATTTGCGAGTAGTTATGGGGTCCTCACCTTTTAGGGACAAGAAAAGTAGCCTCATTTCTTTGTTACATCTTCCTCCTGCTGGACAGTGTGGTATAGAAGGGGGGGTGCTGGGTCCTGTGGGAACCCACAGTCTGTGATGCTGGGGGTCCCTGCATGGTTTTGAGCAGAATTCTGCCTTTCCCAGGGTGGGAAATTCCTCATGCCACAGGAGTGTGCTTTGGCTCAACAACAGAGGAAGTTCTGGAAGGACTTGAATATCTGTCATATTTACAAGCCTTTATTGATCAGTGAAAGAGAAAGTTACTAAGTGGGAATACCTAAAAAAGAAAATAAGAAAGCAATAATATTTAAAGAGATAGATCACAGAGGATATGAAGAGAAGGCTTTAGAAGGAAGCAGTACCCCACAGTAAGAACCAGCTGTTCACTTCGGGTAACTTAGTTGAGCTCTCTGTTTCAGTCTCTTCATCTGTAAAATAGACTTGATAACACCCTGCATCTCAGGGTAGTTGCAAAGATAATCAAGAATACATTTAAGTGGACCAGCAGTTAGCGTAATGGCTATGTCACTGTACTCCTATGTAGTCGGCCATGGTTCAAGTCCTGGACCAGGTGGCTTAAACTCACGCTGGGCGCCTGTGCGTGCGTGCCTAAGATCCCGAGAGAGAATGGAGGAGAAGGGATTGCGGCATGACCATCCCTCTGGGGGTGATTTCTAGCTTTCTGTCTCTCTGGTGAGCTCATATGCCCTATAGCAAAAAGCTCTCCAAAAAAAAGGGAATACATTTAAGGATTTAACATAGCACTAGCACATAAATAGTCAATGTATTTTACAGGTTTTGGAGACAAAGCATATGAATTTTAAGGTTTTTATAATTGTGATTAAAAAATGTTAACTTTGTTTTCTGCTGGGATATTTTGAGTATGGCTTTGTTCACAGAATAAGCTGTTAGTTTCCAAGTTTAGTGACTAGCTTACTCAGTACGCAGTAGTTATAAAGTGATAGACTACCTGTATTCATGCATTGGCTGCCATCACCCATGTGATCATTGAAAATCACTTCAGTTAACTATTATTAGTAGAAAGCGCCTGGAGGCTGCCATGTGCAGTGTGGACGGGACAAGGGTCCACACGCAGACCTGTGTCCCGTGGTCAGGCAGATGGCGGCGTGGGAGCTGTTGTCTCTGGAGCACATGTGTTCCGCAGAGGAAGCTGAGTGGAGGCACGGGCAGGAGGATAGAGACAGCACTAGAAAGGGTTGCTGCCACCACGGCCTCATGGTGGGTGTGTTCCCAACACCCACTTCTGTCCTCCAGAGCACCATAAAGGGGCCCTTGTCATGCCCATCACACAGGTGAAGAAACCCAGTTTGCCCCGCACACCCAGCTAGGAGTTGTCTGGTTATAAATCCTACCCTGGCTTTCCTCTAAGCTCCGTTGGTAAGGAAAGAAGGCACATTGGAGGAAGTTTCTGGCTGGTAGAAGTATAGACATGTAAAGCTATAGCTCTCTAACTTCAGTTTCTACATAGAAAGGAGAGTCCCCAGAAGGTGGAGCGTCCTTCATGTCTGCTCTCACAGCTGGTGGGCATTGGGTGTCCAGTGCTCTTGCTTCACTGTTTGTGCTTTTGATATTTATTTACCTGTTCATTTGCTGTGTTAAATTTGCCTAGCGTATGCCAGAAGGTGGCATAGTGATAAATTTGCCTTATGAGTGTATAATTTCTTTATTGTTATCTACTTCGATAACTAATGTACAGTTCTTGTGACTAGTTAACTTGCTGGATGACATTAAATGAGGATAGTATCAGAAAAGATGCTTTTAAATTACTTATGTAACTGCATTTTTTCCTTGTGACTTCAAAGGGAACAGGACAAGAATGCCAGCAATAGTTTACTTCTTTTTTAATTTGTATTTTAGTTCTGCTGCTTTGAGAAGATAATGAATAATTCTGTAACTTTTTTTTTTTTTTTTTTTTTTTTGCTATAGGGTATGTGCGCTCCCCAGAAAGACAGAGAGAGACAGAGAGACAAAAAGTGAGAATTAACCCCCTGGGGGGATGGCCATACCGCAATCCCTTCTCTTCCATTCTCCTCTCAGGATCTTGGGCATGCATGCACACACGCCTGGTGTGAGTTTAAGCCACCAGGTCCAGGATTTGAACTGCAGCCATTACGCCAGCTGCTGGTCCCCTGTTACTTTTTCAGATTATTCTTTTAGTCATTAATAAAAGGAAAAAGGAGATCAGAACTGAGTCTGTCTGTTGGACTTGGAAATCTAAGGTGGTACTATGAGTACCGAGGGGGTGGAGACAGCTTTATCATCAACAAAGAGGCATCCAAATTAGTTTTCTTACATAATCCAAGTTAGGCATGGTAGGATTGAAAATCAGATTACTGCTGTATTGTCTTGCTTTTGTTTACAGTTTTATATAATTAAAGACTTCTTGCTCACTTTTGCTAAATGTATTCTCTCTGATGTGGTAGGTGGCGTAACAGTGAATTTAGCAAGAAAAGCTTTGTGTACTGCTTCCCACGTCAGTGTGGTCCCATCCCTGGTAATTGTTAAAAATACACATCAGAATATGGCTAAAACTTCTTTAATTCTTAAATTTTAAAATACTGAATTCATATTCATCATAATTGACATTCTTTACCTTGTTTTTCTTTCTAAAAAGTCTTTTTAGGGGTCAGCAGGTCTTGTGGTAGTTGAATCATTGAACTCCCATGTGGCCAACCGCGATTTGAGTCCTGGCCCCGTGGCTTGAAATCCATGCCGGTCACATGTGCTTACGTGCCCAAAATCCCGAGAGGAGAATGGAGGAGAAGGGCTTATGGCCTGGCCATCCCCCAGGAGGTGATTTCTTGCTTTCTGTCTCTCCAATGAGTGCACACACTCTATAGCAAAAATCTCTCTCTCTCAAAAAAATAAGTTTAAAAAAAAAATAGCAATAACACATATCATGTTCTAAGCAAAGATCTTTGAAATGAAACTACATATTTTTAAGGTTCCTTTTTTATAAAAGAAAAGAAACTTAACGGAAAAGTCTAGCACAAATTATACCCTTTTTTAAAAGATTTTTGCTATACGGTATGTGTTCCAGAGACAGAGACAGAGAGAAAGAGAGAGAGAGAAAGTGAGTAGTCACTCCTCACGGGAGATGACCACAGTCTCCAAGAGATTTTGGACGTGAGTGTTTTAACCCCTATGCCACCTGCAGGCCCTGCTCAAATTGTCCTTTTTTTTTTTTTTTTTTTTTAAGAATTATTTTATTTTGGGACCAGCAGATGGCATAATGGCTTCATTTCTGGACTCCCATGTAGTTGTCTGGGGTTGGAGTCCCAGACCTGGTGGCTTAAACTCATGCTGGGTGCATGTGCATGCATGCCCAAGATTCCAAGAGGAGAATGGAGGAGAAGGGATTGCAGCATGGCCACCCACATCACCACAGAGGGTGATGTCTCACTTCCTGTCTCTCTGTCTGGTGCACGCATGCACCCTGTAGCAAAAAAAAAAAAAAAACAAACTCTCAAAAAAAAGAATTATTTTATTTCACTTTATTTATTATTATTATTATTTTATTATTTCCAGAAGAGAAGGAAAGAAAGTGAGAAAGCAAGTTTTCAGGTCTAGGACCCGAATCATGATCTGCCATATGGGAGTCCAGCACCCTAAACCACCACACCACCTCTTGGCCCCTCAAATTATACTTTTATACTGACACATTCTAGAGTTTTTAAGAGAAGGAGCCAGTAAGTGGAATGGTGGTTAGGGGTGCTGGACTTCCTCATGGCTGACCATGGTTCGAGTCCCAGACATAACAGCTTGCATTCTCTCTCTCTCTCAGTCTTCCTCTCTGGTTAAATTAAAATAAATAAAAAAAGAAAGATTTAACATCTTTCTTTACAATACTGTTATTAAACAATTTTGATAACCATTAAGATGGTGGAAAGATAATTATAAGTAAATTTTGCAGGGACATAGTCAGACTTAAAAATTTTAAAAATTGTTAGCAAAGAAGCTTACTGATTTCTCACTTGTGGTTGATAAAGCCCCCTTATAATGGACCATCTGCATTCCTATTCAGTAGCTTACACATTAAGAGAATGCAGTTTCCCTAATGAATATTACTATATTTTACAACTAATACCAAATCTGAGAGTTATGGGAATAAAAGGGTTAGGAAACACACTACAGAAATAATTGGAGGTAAAAACAAACAAACAAACAAAAAAACAAAAGAAACCAAGTATCTAGGGAAATACTGAAGCAGGTTACCCTAGCGAGAAGGACTAAAACCACATGTTCTTAGAAAGAAAAGACAGGTCGTACTGTTTGTTATGTTTATATCCCAGATAATAAAAGAGGACACCCTTCTGTGAGAGGAAGAGTCAGACTGGACTTGGAAGCTTTGGAATGAACTCTGTATGCCAAAGTCAGTGTGGTGTGTTACATTGTAGCTTCTCAGGACGCCGGTCTCCTGGATGAGGACTAGCTCTAGGTGCCTTTATATAAGGCGATAGGTTTCTTCCATGCAGAGACAGTCTGTCTGCAGCATGTAGACAGTGTTGGGGAGGAGGCAGCCGTGCCGTGTGGGCCACTCTGTGAAATCGTCCTTGTGCAGGTGACTGCAGGCCCCGCTCTCCTTGGAGCCAGGCCCTACCCATTCGTTTGTGAAGGTCCAAGTCAGCATGGGTTGTCGTTCCTAGTATGACGTGGGCTTTCTTCTCAGCATTCCCTTTATTGTTGACCTGTTACAAAATATACTTGTCTCTCCTCTAATCACCTGCTGGTTGAGATCTCTGAGTAATGCATCTCCATTCCTGGAGAGGTGCTGCGAGCACCAGGCCGTGTTTGTCATCGAACAAAAATTTTAACCCCAAGACCAAGGACATCTTATGTTTTAAGAATAATTTTAAGACAGTGAATTCATTGGACAAGCTCTTGGGGTTGCTTTAATTGGACTTTGGCTTGTTATATGTATGTACTTTGTGAGAGCAGAAGGCCAAATCTTAAAATTACATTTGATAGGAAATTTTCAGCTGAAATACATTTAAACTATCTATACGGGAGTTTTTTTGTATTTTATGTACGGAGAAGACTTTAAATATTTTTATGAACTATTTAAAGACCAAGAAAAAGATCCATCTATACTTTCTAAAGAAATGTTTCTCAAGTCACAAGTTATTATAGGTGCTGGAGGTAACTACATGTTGTCATCAATTCTCTTAAGAGAAAGAAGCCATAAGTTTCACTTACCCCCATTAGCTCCTCATAGAAAACAGAGTCGCACTGCCATCCAGTGGCTGTATTTCATATCAGAAAGAAATGAAAAAAAAAAAAACAGCTGAAATTAAAAAAAAAAAATCAGCCTGTGTCCTCTGTCCGACTTGTATTTAATATAATGACCTTGAACTAAGTAGAAACCCTCTGAGAAGTAAATGCAAATATAAAGAAAACTCCTCACCAAGAAGATAAGATCACTATAAGCTCTCTTTGTCTTTTAGTTGTCTTTTTACAGTTAATTTTTAAACCGTATCATTATGAAGTGAAGAAATATGTGAATATATTGTAGTGAGGAGTAAATGTTAAAGACTAATATTGATGAGCCAATTAATAAAAATTTTTTTTTTCCTAAAAAAAAAAAATGTAATGCTTGGGACTGGCAGGTGATGAGGTGGTTATTGGCGCTGGACTCCTCATGACTGGTCGCCGTGTGAGTCCAGGACCTGGTGGCTTGCTTTCTCACTTTCTCTCTCGCTTTCTCTCTCTGGTCAAATTAAAATGAATGAATAAATAAGTAAAGTTAAATTTTAAGAAATTCTTTAAAAAATAAGTAATGCTTTTAAAATTTGCTAGCTTTTTCTTCTTGGCCTTATTTTTTATTTTATTTTATTTTTTGGCTAAGGGCACGTACACTCGCCAGAAAGACAGAGAGAGACAGGAAGTGAGAAACACCGCAGTCCCTTCTCCTCCATTCTCCTCTCAGGATCTTGGGAATGCATGCACACGTGCCCAGCGTAAGTTTAAGCCACCAGGTCCAGGACTTGAACTGCAGTCGACTACATGGGAGTCCAGCGACATAGCCATTATGCTAACTGCTGTTCCTTGGCCTTATTTGTGGCAGAGGAAGCCCACTTGGTTAACCTAGCACTTGTTCTTTTAGGTACCTGTCTGACCTTCATGCATCCGGTGACCCTGCTTGGCAATGTATCGGAGCCCAGCACAAATGGATCCTTCAGCTCATGCACAGCTGTAAAGAAGGCTATGTGAAAGACCTGAAAGGCAAGAATTTTGCTTCTCATTTATTATGCTGTTTCTTTATGTCACTTAAAAATATTTCAGTAATGCCTAATGATTAAGGGAAATACCAATTTTTTTTTTGTATCGGTACCTGTTTCTTCTGTTCATGCATTTCTAGGTTTGTTTTTGTTTTGCCCTAGGTAGCGTTCGCTATCCCTAAAAGTGAGTAACAGAACAGGAAGGGAGAAAACTTCTAGTCTGTCTGGTTTTATGGTTGACCAGCCATATTGACAAAGGTTTGTTTCCAGAAACAGTTAAAATTTCACGGCAGGCGATCCAGTGTAGAAATGATGTTAGCTCACTCACTATCTCATTCAATGCACGTTGAGTCCTTCTTCTGTACCAGAAACTACGACAAGTATTAGATAAGACAGTGGTGAATACAGAGATATAGTCCTTGCTTCACGGAGGTGCTGGCAGAGGAAGGAAAAGGTAGTAAATGTGTATCTAATCAAATGAGTTGAGACAAGTGATAAAAAGAAAAATAGCAGGATACCCTGAAGAGGAGTAACTGCAAGACTGTTTTAGAAGGTTGATGTGGGGAGGTATCTCAGAGAAGGCTCTGTATTAGCTAAGTAGTGGAAGGAGGAGACTCTGGCCTGAGAAAGGGAACAGCCTGTGCAAAGGCTATAAGGTAAGTTCGAATAGAGAAGTCGAAGCTGCATTTGCATTTATTGCCTTTTATTTGTATAATGAATGTCTGCTATGTTCTAGATGTACTTGGGGGCCAAAGATATAGTCGTCAAGATGATAGACCAGGGGCCAGCAGGTGGCGTGGTGGTTAAGGTGCTGGACATTCCCACATGGCCAACCATGGTTCGAGTCCTGGACCTGGTGTCTTGCTTTCACACTTTCCCTCTCTCTCTCTCTCTCTGGTCAAATTAAAAAATAATAATAATAAAAAAATGAGTCGATAAATAAATAAATAATAAATAAAAAACAAACTGCATGAAGTCCAATATTAAAAAAAGAAAAGATGATAGACCAAATGCCTGACTCAAGCAGGCTTACAAAATAGTGAAGGAGACGGTGACTATTAAAGACACTGGCCCAGGACCAGCAGGTGGTGTGGTGGTTAAGGCGCTGGACACTCCCACATGGCTGACCACGGTTTGAGTCCTGGACCTGGTGGCTTGCTGTCTCACGTTCTGTCTCTTTCTGTGTCTCTCTGGTCAAATGAAAATAAATGGGTACCAGCAGTTAGCGTACTGGCTCTGTCACTGGACTCTCATGTAGTCGACCACGGTTTGAGTCCTGGACCCGGTTGCTTGAAACTCACACCGGGCGCGTGTGCGTGCGTGCCCAGGTTCCTGAGAGGAGAACGGAGGAGAAGGGATTGCGGCGTGGCCATCCCCCCTGGGGGGTGATTTCTCACTTTCTGTCTGTCTGACTGGCGAGCGCACGTGCCCTGTAGCAAAAACCTCTCCAAAGAAAATATTAAATGAATAAATAAATTAAATTGAAATAAATAACTCTTAAAAAATAAAATAGCTGTGTATTTTGAAAAAAAAAAAAGACACTGGCCAAGCTGGAAGTGCCCGGTAGCAGTTAGGAATAGCATCTGACTCAGAGTTTTGAGTTTAGGGAAGTAACAATCTGAGATCTGAAGAAAGTGACATCTGTTTCAAGATCTGAAGAAGACCTGTACTGTCCAGTTGAAGTAGAGGAAGACAGAGCTAGCTAAAGACCACCCCAGGAAAAGGTCAGATGTGCACAGGATTTCAAGCAAGAGAAGGCTGTTGAGTTTTGTGTGATTGGAGCTTAGACAGAACTTGATCAGAGCAGCAAACGCCAGGCTGGAGTTAGAAGGCACTAGGTAGGTATTGGAGGGGTTCAGAGTTTATCTAGAGGATTATGCAAGAGCCATTGAAGGGTTTCGAGCAAGAGAAAGACACACTCGGGGGTCAGCCAGTAGTGTTGTTAAGGCAACTAGATCCCACATGGCTGACTCTGCAATTTACCTGGTGGCTTCAAAAACATGCCGGGCATGTGTATGTGTATGTGCACACGTACCTAAAATTCCTAGAGGAGAATGGGGGAGAAGGGATTGTGGCATGGCCATTTCTTAATTCCCTTCTCCCCCTTCTCGCTCTCTCTGTCTCTCTCCAGCGAGTGCACTTTTGCCCTATAGCAAAACTAAAAAGAAATTAAAATGTTTTTGCCAGAGGAGGGGTCATGTGCTTTTGGGGGTGTGTGAGGAGGGAGATAATGAGAAAATGTCCCTTCATGAAAAACTAAAAAGAAATTAAAATGTTTTTGCCGGAGGGGTCATGTGCTTTTGGGGGTGTGTGGGGAGGGAGATAATGAGAAAATGTCCCTTCATGGGAAATGATTGGGCCTCTATCCCCTTTCCTCCATTTCTCCCTCCTTTTGGGATTTTAGGCATTTATGCACACACATCTGATGTGGTTTTCAATCTGCTGGGTCTTGGCTTTCGAACTATGTAGTCAGCCATGTGGGATCCAGCCCCCCAACCATAATCCCATGGGCTGGCCCCAGACTTACTTTTTTTTGGAGAGATTTTTGCTATAGGGCTCGTGCACTCGCCAGACAGACAGAGAGAGACAGGGAGATAGAAAGTGAGAAATCACCCCCCCACCCAGGAGGGATGGCCATGCCGCAATCCCTTCTCCTCCATTCTCCTCTCAGGATCTTAGGCTTGCATGCACATGTGCCCAGCATGAGTTTAAGCCACCGGGTCTGGGACTCGAACCACAGTTGACTACATGGGTGTCTAGCGACATAGCCATTATGCTAATTGCTGGTCCCCAGACTTACTTTTTAAAAAGATGATGACCCTGGTTTCCACAGGTAAGAATGCAAGACGGGAGTGGTGAAACCAGGTAGGAGGCTGGCATGCCATAGCATGGAGGTGGTCGGAATGTGGAGAAGTAAAGAGATTTCAGAGCCATTGGAAAAATAAACTCAAACTAATAGGACTAGGTGCTGAAAAATAAGAAGAAAGGGTTAAAGGGTAGTTACCAGAGATATGACCATGACAGCTGGTTGGAAGGATGATACATTGAATTAGAGAACCTGGGAGAGAAAACAGATCTCCCTCTTTTCTTTGGATGGATTGATTTGGAGTAGTCCGACATGCAAGTGTAGAAATATCCAGGAGGGAGCTGGATTTGAAGAGCAAGAGATTTGGTGTGGACTGCATACAGATGGGCCTTAGGAGTTTCTCCCAAGGAGATGAGAAAAGAAGAAAACTTAGGACAGAATCCTGAGGGAATGGTATGAAGTGCCTGGTGGAAGATAAGAATCCTGCAAAGGAGAGGAAGAAAGAGTGACCCCAGGGCAGGGGGGAAACAGATAGACATTATGTTGTGAAATCAGAGGAGGAGGAGTGGCAGAAGATAGGAGAGGCGCCCCAGGGCTGCTGTGCCAAGCTTGACTCGCGCAGGGCCAGCGGCTCAAGCTCCAACATGGGTGACGTACAATGAGAATATGGTGCTTTCAGGTCCACACGAGGGCTTGGGCAAGGAACAAGAACAGTCCTGCCACAGCAGTGTAACTGGGAGGTCACCATTACGTATATAAATTATTACAGATTTGTCGTGAATTTGGGTTTGCATACTTCCAGTTCTGAGGCCGTTCTTTTCTATATATATTTAAGAAAACTCAAACATCTTTTTATTGCTACATGTCAAAATTCCTGTTAATATCATTAATGATTTCTAGCAAGAAAAATTGACAGCAAATGTGCACATACTCTGTAGTTTTGAGAGTCCTTAGCGTATCTTACTGACATGTTTATTTCTGTGTTGAGTCAACCAGTAAGTTTGGAGTACACTGTTTGGTAGGGCTCTTGAACTGGACAGCCCATCAGAATCCCTTGGCTGTTTTTCATGACTATTCCCTCCTGGCCTCTACACCATCCGCACCAATTACGTTAGCGTCTCGGCAGGTGGAGTCCAGGCATTAGTATTTTGTAAGCTCCTGGAAGATCCGGGCACAGCCAGGATGATACTGAGCATGCTGGAGGCTGTGCAGGGGAAGTGCAGTGGCGAGCTGCGCCCAGTGCCTCTGACCTATTGGGGCTGGTAGAATAGTGGGAGAGACACACGATGTTAAAGATCACGAGGGAATGTATTTATGTATAATTGTAAAGACTGTTACGAAGTAGGGAGTACAACTTCTTTTTCTTTTTTGGGGGAGAGGATTTTGCTGAAGGGTGCCTGCACTCACCAGAAAGACAGAAAAAGACAGAGATGGAAAGTGAGAAATCACCCCCCAGGGGGGATGGCCACACCACAATCCCTTCTCCTCCATTCTCCTCTCGGGATCTTGGGCACGCACACACACGCGCCCGGAGTGAGTTTAAGCCATCAGGTCTGGGACTCGAACAGCAGTTGACTGCATGGGAGTCCAGCGACATAGCCATTACGCCAACTGCTAATCCCAGGAGTACAGACTTCTGTAAGAACATATGACAAGAGGACCCAGTCTGGTTGGGGGGAAATCTAAGGAAGTTTCTCAGTGGAGATAAAATCTCAATTGAAGCTGAGTGAAGACTGTCAGTTATGTAGGTAGGCAGGAAGCATCCAGACACCTTGTAAGTGCTTGGTGAATGTCACCTTCTCCACCAAAGAGGGCATTTAGTGACCGTATTCACCTGATGCAGCTAAGACCTGTGGTTGAAGGATTTTCCGACCTAGGCATATAGGAAACAATCTGAATTCATCATTTGGTATAAAAATATTTGAGTTTTGGGGGACCAGCAGTTAGAATAATGGCTATGTCACTGGACTTCCATGTAGTCGACTACGGTTCGAGTCCTGGACCCAGTGGCTTAAACTCACACTGGGCGCGTGTGCGTGCGTGCCCAAGATCCCAAGAGGAGAATGGAGGAGAAGGGATTGCGGCATGGCCATCCCCCCTGGGGGTGATTTCTCACTTTCTGTCTCTCTGTCTCTCTCTGTCTTTCTGGCGAGTGCATGCACCTCTAGCAAAAACCTCTCCAAAAAAAAGAAAAAAAA